GGAGGAGGAGGAGGAGGAGGAGGAGAAGGGGGAGGACGTCCTCCCTCCCCCCCATCCCCTGCACCCCCTCCGCTCACTCCCTCACGTCCTTCGACCGCCCGGCGAGGAGGAGCTCAGGCGCCGGCCAGCGCGGCGCCCAGCAGCGACGCGGCCCCGACCGCCAGGAGGGCGAGGGCCACCGCGTCGGCCTGAAAGGGGCTTGCGGGTGGGCGCGGGGAGCGGAGACGGGGCGCGACTGTTCGTTCCATTGTTTGTTACCAGATTGGCCCCCCTCTTCTCGTATTTTGTTTTTTTCCCCGTTGATTCTCCGAGCGTGAGCTCTAAAATGGCACGGGGGACAGATGGGGTTGGTCCTCCTCCTTCTCCTCCTCGTCCTCCGCCTGCTCCCGTTCAGATCCATGCTCCCTCTGCCCGTCCTCCTCCTTTTCCCCCTCCTTCTCCTCCTCCTTTCCCGTTTCTTCCTCCTCCTCGTCCTCCTCCTCTTCCTCCTCCAACCTGCTTCTCCTCCTCCTCCTCCTCCGGCTCCTCACTATCCGATTGCCACTCTTCCGCCTCCCCCCCACCATTTCCCCTCTTTCCCCTCCTCCCCGTGTTCCACCTCCTTTTCCTTTTCCTCCTTTTCTTTCTCCTCCTCCTCCTCTTCCTCCTCCTGGCGCGCACCACGGGGGATGTCCGGAACGTCAGCTGAAAATGTATTCGTTGAACCGCTGCGCGATCAGCAGGGGCCGCGGCCGCCGCGGCCGACTCTGAAATGAGTGGAGTGAGAGAATCAAAGGAAAACAGGAGGCTGCCAGAGGAGGAAATGGCGAGGCCTAGGCGCTCCAAGACATCAGAAGTGGGGTGCGCCAGTGTCAAGAAAGGGGGGGCACACTGAATACAGTCGGCCTTGATTGGGCAGGACACGCGAGATGGCACAAGACCCTTCCAAGGGCCATATTGCCGGGTCGACCTACTAATCTGGGCCGACTGTAATGACTGACACTGTCATGCTCATCCCCACACCCAGTAGCACAAGAGACCTGACCTTCAACACGGCGGTTCGTGGTCCAAGGAGCCGCACGGGGTCTTCAGGGCTCTCCGATCCCATGCGGGAGGGTCTATTGGGCTACGGCGCTTCGGAGTTGGACCCCAATCCAGAGCCAGTACCCGAGGAGTGAGAAATGGGAGCCACAAGGCGAACCGACGAGCGAAGGTCGAGGCGAGCCGGAGAGGGAAGCGCGAAGAGAGCACGGCACGGCCCAGAGAACGCTGCAGCTCAACTTTCTGGGCGCGCTGTGCTGGAACTTCTTGCGTTGACAACTCACGGCCAGCAAAGGGAGTGGCCTTTCCCGCTTCACCCCATTAGACTGCATCGGGGAACCTGGGGCTGGCTTCTCTGAGCTCTTCAACGTTGGCGCGGCTTTTCCAGAGCGCGGGGCCGCATTGCTTCTGAATGAGCGCAACGAGAGGTCGGTTCCTTGCAGCATCTCAAAGAAACACTGACCAAATCTGGGGCCAATCGGCAAAAGTGCGGAGCTCAGCTCGCACTAGACAGACCAAACACATAGCATTTGCAGACTGAATATTCGTCCACCAGATGCTGCGAACAAATAATAGCCGCCTCGGGCGAGGGCGCAGTGGGAACCCTTGAAGACCATGGTCAATACAGAGGGTTCGGATTTGGGGAAATGACAGGGGGAGGGAGGAACTGGGCGACGTAGGATATTGGGGACTGCTCGACGATCGTAAAGATAGGCTGCCACCGCTGTTGGAGGGCCGGCTTTCGCGATCGCACAGCTGGGTGCGAGGTGTTTCGTGAGCGGGGCCACCCAGGCATCGCCGTTGACAGCTGGGTCTATGATTCGGCCGATGTGCGTCAACCTGCATTATATGCGGACAAGAACCCATGATGGGACAATCTCATCAAACCACTTGCGGTAGAAGTATTTGACCTCAGCGCTGAACTCACCGGGCAAGAAAACCATGAGACATTTTGCGCGAAGGAACCCCGCGAAAAGCCGAGCACATGGGAACATGTTGTGCAGAGTCTTAAGGGCCTTGACGTCTGAGTCGGCACGCATGAGACCCGTGCGGACTCAGACCTTGTGGGATACCAGACAATGTACTGAGCTGAAACGGGTCTTAAACTCATCCTCCTCCGCTTCCTCATCTTTTCATCCCTGCCGCCATTCATGTGTTACCGTCCTATCCTCAGGAGGTCCAAGTCGTCTGCTCGCCTCGTTTTCTCGCGGATGGGGGGTGGGGGTGGCCCAGAAGTTCGGGCAGCCTGAGTAGGAGGGAAGGGCATGTCCCGACGACTCCCCGACAGACCCCCAAGAGGTGCCAAACAAGGCCCCAGGAGAACCGCAGGACGCCCGCGAGAGGCTTCAGAGGAGCTTCCAGGAAACGCCGAGATGCCACCAAAGGCAACGTCATCTGGCGCTGTGGCCCCCGGCACGTTGAGGCGTGCTCGCATGCCGAGGACTGCCTGATTCGGTTGCTGTCGGCTTCTGAGGGCTGACCTCCCCGTTCAGGGTAGCCCGTGAGTCCTCCGTCAGGCGCTCGACGGCAGCGGAACCTCCCCCCCTCCTCCCCCTCCTCCTCCTCCTCCTCCTCCTCCTCCTCCTCCTCTTCCTCCTCCTCCTCCTCCTCCTCCTCCTCCTCCTCCTCCTCGTCCTCCTCCCCCTCTCATCGCAGACTTCCGCGTGCATCCCCCGCCATCCCAACCAAGGCCACGATCCCCCACAGAAACTGGTGGGCCAGCGCTCCCCGTGCCACGACCCCTCCACGATCCCTTCGAAGAGCGAGAGATCCGTGCTCCCGAGGGCACGATCCCCCGCGCACGAAAAGCGGTGGGCGCCACAATTCCCCGAAGCAAGCTGTGGATCCGCTTCCAAGACGGCTGAGGCAAACAATCAAGGCCGCCAGGATGGCCCGAGATGCCTCCAAGACGGCCCAAGAGCGCCCCAAGGCGGCCCAAGATGGCCTCAAGCTGGCCCAAGAGGCCCCAAAAATCTCCCAAGAGGGCCAGAAGAGGACCCACAGTAGGGCCCGATGAAGCCCAACTCATTTTCCTCTGGCCGTTTTAAAAGCTTTGGGCATCATCACCTCCGAGGCCTCTAATATTGCCCCAAGACGGCAAAAGGAAGCCCACAAGTCGCACAAACATACTCCGATGCCTCAAGACAGGCCAAGAGGGTCTCTGGACGGCACGAAGAAAGCCTTAAGCCGGCCCAAGACGGCTTCCGGAGGGGCCCAATGCGACCTTGGAGTGCCGCTCGACGGCCGCATCAAACCCACCAGAGGGCTCTGAGGGCTCCAAGACTGCCCAAGAAAGCCCCTAGACGGCTCCAAGACGGCCCGAAGTGACCCAAGCAATCCCCAAGACTGGACCCGCAGGAGGCCGAGCAAGGACAGACAAAAGGGAAAGACGAAGAAGGCGAGAAGAGAACCTCCGACAGAACATCTTGCGGGTCTCACAAACCTCGGACGCGAGGCGTCAGACGTCACGGCCTGCTGTGCGGCCGCCGAACGGTCGCCACCCACGGTGCTGGGCTGGCACGGTGGCGGGACTTGCCGCAGGCAGCTGGACAGGGAAGCTGACAAAGAGGACCAAGGAGGACTGAAGAAGATAACGAAGCTGAGAACAAGGAGGTGGCTACCAAGACTTGGTATCCTCCAAACACAACACTGAACTGGAACGGGTCTTACCTTCATCCGCCTTCCCATTGCACTGCTGCGCTGGCACGGTGGCGGGGATTGCCCGAAGCAGCTGGATACACAAAGAGACCGAACTGAAACAACGGGTGCGATGAATTTGAATACGAGTCGTTCAGGATGGCCCAGCAGTGCCTTTGAAGCCCTGAGCGCACACATAGGCTGGACGCCCAGGATAGACGCCCATCTCTAAGGAGTCAAAGCGCGCGGGCTGGAAGGACGCCTCGAATGGTAGGTCGAAGAGCAGCAGGGAAGGCGCCACGACGAAGCTGCTGAAGACCTGCCGCGCGCGGCACGACACCCCGAGGGGGAGACACGCGGCAGCCGCCCCCCCCCCCCCCCCCCGAATCCTACACGCTCGAGGCCTACAAGAACGGAGGGATCCAGAGCGGGCTTGCGCGGGGGAGGGGTCTCGGCCGACCTTCTGTTGCATCTTCCGGGGGGCCTTGTGGGTCCCGCCGCGCCCCTGTCTGCGTCGAGTCCGTGTCGAGTCCGCAGCGAATCCACGCCAATTCCGCGTCGAGTCCGCATCGAGCCCGCGTCGGGCACAAGAAAAGACACCACTTTTGAGGACGTGCGACGCAACCAACCCCCTCTCGAGGGGAGGGGCGCGAGGCGGGCGTTGATGCACAACCACCGCCGGGGGGGGTCGACCTTCGGGGACCTCGGCAGGCGGTGGATACGGATATACTCCCCGCCTCCTCCTCCTCCTCCTCCTCCTCCTCCTCCTCCTCCTCCTCCTCCTCCTCCCCGTCCTCCTCCTCCTCCTCCTCCTCCTCCTCCTCCTCCTCCTCCGATGCATCGGAGGTCGCCGCACATCGCCGATGCATCGGAGGACGTCGGCAGATCGCCGACAGATCGCCGATGCGTCGCCGATCTATCGCGCCGCAGATCGCTGATACATCGGCGATACATCGTCGACATCGGCGCCGTCCGCGCCTAGAACAGCGGGCTTGTCCTGCGTCGACCGCAACGGCCGCGTCGCCCATAGACGTGTCCATTCCGAATGAGTCGATGTACGCATCGACGCCCAATGTGCCCATAGACGCTTGCGGCTGCAACAAGTGGGAACGGTACTTGGCATAGGTCCCAGATGTTGGCCTTCTGACAACAGGTGGACTTGGCCCTCAAAGCTGGAGGCCTCCTGGATGGGGTCGGAGGGTCGCCGATGCATCGGCGATGCATCGGCGACGTCGGCGTGGGGAACATCGGGCTCCGCATCGAGCCGCATCGCCGATGCATCGGTGGCAGGGCGCGATCCTCGGAACCCACCTGCTCGGACCCCCATCTGCGTCTAGGCCCACAGGCCACGGCGGCGAAGCGCTGTGTTGTCTTCACGCCCCTGCGAGTGCCTGTGGAGAACCGCGCGGCGCGGCTCTCGACTTCGTCGCCGCCGTCGTCGCCGTCGTCGTCGTCGTCGTCGTCGTCGTCGTCGTCGTCGTCGTCGTCGTCGTCGTCCTCGTCCTCGTCATCGTCGTCGTCGTCGTCGTCGTCCTCGTCGTCGTCGTCGTCGGTCGGCCTGGCGCGCCGTCAAGGGCCCAGCCCACCGCGACCGTTTCGCAAATCGCTCCGTCTGTCGGTCTGCCTGACCGTCCTCCGGACCGTTGACGATACCTTCATTGCGCTGTGCTCCTACGGCACACCCGAGCTCTGGAAGACCTCCGACGTCCTGGTGCAAGTGCCGCACGGACAAGGAAGCGCCGTCTGAAGCCGCAGGAGGAGGAGGAGGAGGAGGAGGAGGAGGAGGAGGGAGGAGGAGGGAGGAGGAGGGAGGAGGAGGAGGAGGAGGAGGAGGAGGAGGAGGACGAGGAGGAAGGAGGAGGAACAGGAGGAGGACGACGACGAACGCGCAGGCGGGAGGCCAGGGCCAGCGCTGTGCTCCCACGGCCTCGCGCCCAGAAGCTCGGCGCTTCGGCTCTCTCGATGCGTGGGCCCCCGGACCTTTCGACCACCTCCCGCCTCGGCCAGCTTGCCTCCCGGGTGGTTTTCGTGGACGGCCCCGAGGACCGAAGCTGGCCCCCCCAAGGCCAAACCTTCGGGCGTTGCTGGAAGTGCCCCTGGCCCGAGGTGCCCCCAGCTTTTCGCTCCATGCTGGTGGGGCCCTCGAGGCCCCGAGACGGGTGATCTGGAGGCCGTGTGGGCCACCCCGAGCATCCTGGGGGCACCTTGGGCCAGGGGTACTTCTAACAACAACACCCGAGCCATGCACATCGACTCTAAGCCAGCCGTCTCCCCGAGGGGCCGGATAGCTGGGTACCACACCACCGCGCAGCCGACGAAACGAGCCCCCCCACGCTCTTCGGGCAGCACGAGGCCGCCGCTCCTGCGCGCATCGCACTGGGGCATCGCCCCAGCGGGGCGTGGTGGCACCTTTTTCCCAGCAGCAGGGGCCGTGCATAGCACGCGCGTCCTTCCGTCGGGTCTCGGGCCTCGCTCGCCCAGATCTCCGACGATGTGATGTGCTGTTTCGACCGCGGCTCTTTCCCTCACTTCGATCCCCGAGGGCCGCGTCCGGGCCCAGGGACTATCAAACGTGCGAGCGGCCCTGCAAGGGCAATTCGCTGGAGTTCGCTGGTGACCACAATGATGTGGTGAGCCTCGGGGAGGGGGAGGAGGAGGAGGAGGAGGAGGAGGAGGAGGAGGAGGAGGAGGACGAGGAGGAGGAGGACAAGGAAGACGAGGACGAGGAGGAGGAGGAGCAAAAGTGCCCCCGGGGAACGGGTCGAGAGGTCTGGGGCTGCGGAGGGACGATCGATATCAAAGTGCAGGCTGATGTCTGGGCATGCCGCCTCGTGCTCGTAAGGATCTGCCTGTGGGACTCGCAGCATGCCCTGTGCCTGAAGCGCTTGTGCCTCGCCTCTGTCCTGCTTGTGCGGCGGTGCACTGTCGTCGAGTCAGATCTCCCGAGTTCAAAGACCTGGGTGGTCTCGGCTGCAACCTCCGTCGCCACTGGAGCCAAGGGGTGCTAGAAGCAGCTTCACAAGTACTGTAACTTCTGCGTCGGAGAATTTGCTATTCAACCCAAACATCCCCCACAGCAAATGACCCGAATTAGTTGACGTCGGGAGAGGAGAGGAGGAGAAGGGGCCAGGGCGCTGGGCGGATATCCCCTGCGGCCCACGCGGTCACCTACCTATATACGGCACAAATCCGCAACGGCGTCGCGGAGTGGAGAAACTTCCGCGTCGGAGGGGAAGTGGCACTGCCTCTGCGGGCGAGGCGTGCGCGACAATGCGCGTGGCGAGGGAGGCCATGTTCCGAAGTCTGGTCCCTGGGGCTGCAATGTGCTCTGGATGGGACAATCATCGCCCCCCCTAGAATCCGCTGGGGGGGTTGGGCACGCGCTGTGGGCACAGGTGGAGGGGGGGGGGTCGGAGGAGGAGGAGGAGCAGGAGGAGGAGGAGGATGGGAGGAGGAGGAGGAGGAGGAGGGAGGAGGAGGAGGAGGAGGAGGAGGAGGAGGAGGAGAAGAGGAGGAGGAGGAGGAGGAGGCTAAGACGCTTCTGAGAAACGGCAGAAACGGCAGGAGGAGGGCGGAGGAGGGGAAAGAGGAGGAGGAGGAGGAGGAGGAGGAGGAGGAGGAGGAGGAGGAGGGAGAGGAGGAGGAGGAGGAGGAGGAGGAGGAGGAGGAGGAGGAGGAGGAGGAGGAGAAGGAGGAGGAGGAGGAGGAGGAGGAGGAGGAGGAGGAGGAGGAGGAGAGGAGGAGGAGGAGAGGAGGAGGAGGAGGCTAAGACGCTGGCTGAGCGAGAAACGGCAGAAACGGCAGGAGGAGGCGGAGGAGGGGAAAGAGGAGGAGGAGGAGGAGGAGGAGGAGGAGGAGGAGGAGGAGGGGAGGAGGAGGAGGAGGAGGAGGAGAGGAGGAGGAGGAGGAGGAGGAGGAGGAGGGGGATTGGGACGGGGGGGGATTGGGCAAGCTCCGTCGGTGTAATCCCCCCCCCCCCCCCGAGACATACCCCGTCCAGCGACGACCCAGCCCGAAGGCCCCCAAACGTCGGGCTAGGGGGGACCCCCTCCTCCTCCTCCGCCGCCTCCGCCTCCGCCTCCTCCTCCTCCTCCTCCTCCGCCTCCTCCTCCTCCTCCTCCTCCTCCTGGGGGGGGGGGCGGGTTCCACAGGTGCTTGTTCCATGCTCCCCGGCGCCCACTCCTTCTGGGAATGGAGTGGAGGGCAAGTTGGGGCCTTCGGGTTGGGTTTGGGTGGTTTGGTGGGTGGAGGGCCCAACAGAAAAGAACATAAGGGTACCCCTCCTAAGCTAGGGTTGTTCGTGCCCTCATGTCAACGGTATTCAACGACACGCCGCAGACATCCCAGAGACTCCTGGAGCCCAAGCCTGCTCCCCGCAGGTCGAGGCCAGACCCCCACCCGGCGACGACGCGCACGAGAAGCGTGCCGCAGCGTTGCCTCGGAGACGGGCTACCCCCCGCGCACGCCCGACAAATGCCAAACCGCCTTGCCGTTGAGGACCCTCTCAAGACCGAAGCCTTCGTTCAGAGGGAAAACTGCATAGGCATCAACTGTTGGAGATGCGAGCGGACTTCCTGGATCGGCGCCAGGCCCCCCCCGCCTGGCGCGCGGAGCGTGCGGGCGGTGCCGGGGGCGCCGCAAGAGGGGCCCGCTGCCGATCCGAGAGATCCGCGCGGAATGCCGAATTTCGATTATTGGCCCCGGCCTTCGGTCGGGCATGTCCTCCTACAGGCGGATTTTGGGCGAAACCATGAAACAATCGCCGCCCCAGCCCAGCGGGCCAAGGGCGTGCGAAGATCCCCAGTAACTGGTTGACAATAGTTCTAGTTCTCGCACGCGGGGTCGCCCCTGGGGCCCACGAACGACAAATACGCCCTGGCAAGGTCCCGGGCAAGTCCCGAGCAAGGTCCGGGGCAGGTCCCGCCGAGGTCCCGGCCAAGTCCCAGCAGGCTCCCAAGAGCGCTCCAGGAGCGCTTCCAGTGGCCTCCAAGAAAGCCTAATTAACATGGCCCGAGACGGTCCAAGAACGATCCAAAACGCCAGATCGACATGGCCTCCAGACAGCCCAAAGCGCTTTCAAGACGCCCCGAGAGGCCTCCAAGAAACCACCCCGAGATGGCCCACAGAGGCAGAAATGAGTGATTATCCTGCAGTTTTGAAGGTTTTGGGCGTTCTTGCCTTTTCTGCTTACCGGCGCTCCAAGACGGCCCAGGAGGCTTCCTGGATGGCCCCGACACGGCCCGAGAGGCCTCCCAGAGCGCCCAAAATGGCTCCAGAGGGCCCCAAAACAGCCCCGGAGGCCTCCAAGATGGCCGAAGAGGCTCACAAGACGGCTCCAAGAGCGGGCCCAGACAGGGGACCCGAACCGAGGTCTCCGGGAGGCCTCAAGAGGCCCCCAATAAGCCCCCAAGAGGCCACCGAGAGGCCCCAAGAGACCCCCAAGAGGACCCCACGAGGCCACCGTGTCGCCCCAGGAGGTAAAAAAAAATACGCCAGTAGGCCCAAAACGAGGCTGCAAGAGGCCCCCAAACGGCCTCCAAGAGGCCACGAATGCGCAGGCGAACGCCTGCGATGGCACTATACGGGCCGGCGGGTTGAGCGAAGCGATGAAATAATCAACAGGGTCATACGACAGAGAGCTCGCTGAGGAGCCGAATGTCCTCTCCATAGGGCCCCACGAGGCCCCCAAGCGGAAGCACCAGCACCAGCACCAGAAAATCTCCTATTCGCGCGCGCGGAACGGCCGCCGCTCCCACAAAGTTTCCAGGATCCAGAAATGTGGGCGGCGGTGTCTGCCCCCTCAGGGGCGTTCCATTAAATTCCCAAATCCGCAAACATAATCACATAATCGTCCCCTGACTATTTGCTCGACTATTCTGGAATATTCCTCCTGAGCAACATGCCCGACTTAACCCCGGCCGCGCCCAGAGACCCGGAGCCCCTGTCAGGACCAAGGGTTATGTTGTTCTCATCCTACTTAAGGACCGCATCCCAGAAATAAGTTCGAGCACCCAGAAAAGTGTCTAAATAGTGTCGAAACAGTGTCGAAAGAGTGTTTCCCAGGGCACGACACGTGAAGACCCTCGAGTTCTGGGGTACTTTTCCTGGTGCTCGACATTCTCTCTGGCGATCAAAGCGAAACTAGGTTGGAGCATCATAAGATCAAGGGAGGTGCTCACCCAAACGCTTCGAAACCTCGCATGGTGGGCCCTTTCTCCAATCCGTGCCTCGGCGCGGGTCGTGGGCGCGCCACGTCTCTGTCGTCGTCGTCGTCGTCCTCGTCGTCGTCGTCGTCGTGGTCGGCGTCGTCGTCCTCGTCCTCGTCGTCCTCGGCGGCGGCGGCGGCGTCGGCGTCGTCGTCGTCGTCGTCGCCGTCGTCCTCGGCGTCGGCGGCGGCAGCGGTGGCGGCGGCGGCGGCGGCGTCGTCGGCCTCGGCCTCGGCGGCGGCGGCGTCGTCGTCGTCGGCCTCGGCGTCGGCCTCAGCCTCGGCGTCGGCGTCGGCGTCATCGGCGTCGGCGTGCGCGTCGCCCCGCCTGCGACTGCGCTCCCCTGCCGTCGGGCGCGGCCTCGGCGAGCCCCTCACGGCGAGCCCCTCCCGCGACGGCCCCCCCTCGCCCTCGAGGCTCTCCTCCTGCCGCCTGTCCATAGGGGCAAAACAAACCTACCTCGCTTTTGACCACCCTCGCTTCCAGGAGATGCCAAGCGATGCCAAACCACGGCCTGTACTGGTCAGGCCGCTTGACGAGGCGGCGCGTGGCATGACTTGGTTCTGCCTGGAAGCGAAAGCGGGGTAGGTAATGCGGGATGACGATTAATTAGAAATTGGGGGAACGAGTAAAAACATAGTTTTGTCATTTCTGCAAAATTTTCGGACTGGAGGAGAACGATTGAAAAACATAATCTTCCAGCCCGCGGCCGGTTTTTTTTAATCGTCATCCCGGGCGCCGCCGCGTGAACACGACCCCCGTTCATTTATTAATCGTCATCCTCCATTAATTCACGCTCTGAGTCCACGCCACAGAGGCGGGGCGCGGGGGGGATCGTCACGGACGGGGTAGCTGCTGCTGCTGCTGCTGCGGGGCTCGCTTTGGCTGCCTGCCGCCCTCTGAGGGCTGGGGCCCTCGGCGACGGCCCGCCGCGAGCTGCCGAGCGGGTCCCTCCCCACCTGCCCTGGCTTGGCGGCGGCGACGGTTTCGGACTCCACGGTGTGCGTCGTCGTCGTCGCAGGCGTCGCCGTGTCCGCGATCGGGGAAGCCGAAGGTGCCGATACCGCGGCTGCCTGAACCTCTGGCGGGGCGCGTTCCGACCAGCAGCTCGAGGCGGATCCGGCCGTGGCAACGAGGACCTCCCGAGAGACCCCGACAAGGCGAAAGCGAGGCAAGGGCAGCGGCATCGGCGCCCTCTCCTCCTCTGAGCGGTGCGTGTCGCCCGCCCCGGGGCTGCGCTCACTCATCATGCAGTGGCCAGCCCTTTGTGGGCCCTGGAAACGGCAGGGCCGTTTTTTCACCGTTTCCCAAACAATGTCCCTTGAAAATGGAAACGGCAAAAAAACGGCGACAGGAGACGGCAAAAAAACGGCTCCAGGATTGGAACCGGAGCCGGAACCGGTCATAAAACGGCGACGGAACCGGTAAAAAAACGGCGTCGGAACCGGCAAAAACACGGCAGAACGGCACCGGTGAAATAAGGGCCCTGCCGTTTCCAGGGCCCACTAAGGGCCAGCCCACGCTTCGGGCTGCAGCGGGCGGGCGGGGCGAGACCACCGCCACGACGAGCGTGTGCCACAGGAGGCGCCCGGGCGGCAGCATCGCCCCCCAGGCGGGGCGCGCGTGCGGGAGCCGCGGCCCTGTGCCGCGGGGGGCCCCCGCACGCCCGCCGCGCCTGTGTGCCTCGAGGGGCTGCGCCTCCTCCTCCTCCTCCTCCTCCTCCTCCTCCTCCCTCCTCCTCCTCCTCCTCCCTCCTCCTCCTCCCTCCTGACTCCTCCTCTCCTCATCCTCCTCCTCCTCCTCCTCCTTCCTCCTCCTCTCCTCCCCCCCTCCTCCTCCTCCTCCTCCTCCTCCTCCTTCTGCTTCTTCTTCTCCTCCTCCTTCTCCTCCTGGGTTCGTTGGCATAGGTCTCCACGCGGGCTGCGCCGACAGGAATGGTCCAGGCTCGAAGTGTGGCCGCTTCTTTCACCATGTGCACGTATAGCACAGTGAGGGGCTCGAACGGTCATTCGTTGTCCCTGGGTGCGTGGCCGAAGCGAGGCACCGCTGCGCGGATTCTGTCTGTTGCCGATGCGTCGTCGTCTTCGTCGTCGTCGTCGTCGTCGTCGTCGTCATCGTCGTCCTCGCCCGCGACCCGCCTGCGACCCAACCGTGACCCCCGCGACCCATCCGCGACCAACCCCGCGCCTGCCCCCTCACTCTTATCCGCAACTGCAGGGTGCTACATATGTGTATGTCTGAATGGTATAGATACGTATGGTATAAAGTTCTAATGTGTGCGAATATGTACATGTAAATACGTATGTAGAGTACCCTCGGCGCCACATGGGAGGAGGATGAAAGGAAGCGCGCACCTCCAGACGAGGCAAGGCGGCGTGGCGAGCGCGGAATCACGGCGACGACCTCGTGGAGCGCGCGGCGTCGCAAAACTTCCAATCCGTAGCCAAGGCTTGTGAGGCTTTCTGGGCGTCTCTGGAAGCTCCCGCCGCCATGGCCGGGATTCAGGGCGAGGCCCGCAGGTTTTTCGACGAAGGGGCCTCCGATTACTCGCAAGGCGGGCCAGGATGCGGGGGCACCACGGGCCGTGGACGCTGCTGCCAGCACGCGAGAGGAGATGGAAAGGGAACGTGAGGGCAAGGGGCGAAACATCTTCGGCGGGTGGCATGGCAACGGCCCAGTCGCTGTGTCCTCCTCTCTCTCTCTCTCCCTCTCTCTCCCTGTGTCCCTCGCTCCGCCGTTCGCTTGAGCCGGCACTCCCACCTCCTGCCAGCCCTCCTCGTCCCTCCCCCCCTCTGTCCTGCCCTCCCTCCGTGCGACAACGTCCGTTCGCCCATCCGATCGTTCCCTCTCGGGAGTTCCGGCTGTCAGAGAGCCACGTCTCTCCGCCGCCTGTGGACCACCTAAGCGCCATGTCGCGCACGCATGGGTTCGAGAGGCGGTATCAGATGGGCGCCAAGCCACGTATGCGTGCGCACTGGATGGACGAACCAGGTGCGTACATCATGTATCACGCGTAAGCTCAAACATGCAAGTAAGCAATGCAAGTGTGAACACCTGCAAATACGCACGAGCAGCAGAGGGTGCTGAACCCTACGAACACTTTATCATGTATCAACGTCCACCTTCCTTTCGTACAGCTATATTTCGATCCATGACCGCACATCGAAAACCCTACAAGCAAACATACCACACTGTAGGAGACATATTTTCGCAGGGGTTTCTTCGACAACGGTGAATGCAAACTTCTAGACGTGTGCTCTCGCCCCCGAAAACGATTGCTGGGCGAATCCTCGCAAACAGGCTGGTGCAAACCATCTATGCCGCATGTCGCAGTACGGGCCAATCCGCGTCCCAACGGCGCTGGCTGGAACGACATGCATAACCCCTTTAGGCCTCAGGTCCCATCCGCCCTTCTTGCGAAGCTCCTTGGTGCACGTCCGAGCTCAACATAGTAAGCATAGCACGCGAAAGCTAGTTTGCTGGAAACTATTTGGCAACATGTTTCCTCTCCATTGGCCGTCCTGCACTCACGAGACACACATCCGCAACGCATCGGCAAAGCTCGCACGACATCAGCGGAGGCTCGCTGGCGAAAGCACCTCCCCTTTTCTCATCAGCCAACCAAGATGATTCGAAAACAACGGCGCGCCGGCAAAATGCATTAGGCTTAAGTCGAGTCTGTCCTCCTACAGGGGAATTTTGGACGAGAAATTAAACATCCTCCAACATACCCCCGCACATGCCCCAAAATGGGGGAGAAATAATCCCAGGCGAATGCTCCCCCTGTAGAGGGACAAGCCCGACTTAACATTAGGCGAGCCCAGAGTTACGCGAGGGCCAACCTGCAGCAGGCGAGGCCACGACGCGACAAACCTTGGCCTGCGCAGTATAAACCGGAGCGTCCGCCCGCCTCCCTGCAAGGCTGCAGGGCTGTCCCATGCACGTGGCTGAATCGGAGGCCCTGCCTTGCCCTCTCCTGCTTCTGGACCTCTCTCCTCCTCCTCCTCCTCCTCCTCCTCTCTCCTCCTCCTCCTCCTCCTCCTCCTCCTCCTCCTCCTCCTCCTCCTCCTCCTGACTCCTCCTCCTCCTCCTCCTCCTCCTCCACCTCCTGACTCCTGACTCCTGACTCCTCCTCCTCCTCCTCCTCCTGACTCCACTCTGGCTGTCTCCTGCTTCTGGACCTCTCTCCTCGACTCCACTCTGGCTGTCCACCGGCCAGGCCCCCCACGGTCCCTCGGCCGCTGGGCCCCCCAGCTGCGGGGGATGCGCGGGAGGAGGGCGCACAGCGAGGACGGAGGAGGGCGCCCGATCCCGCCTGCCCACCCTCCGGGTTCAGTCAGCATCGGATCGGGAAATCAGATTGAATCTGAAAGGTCGTCGGATCGGGCTGCACAGGCACGTGATCGAACTCTAAACCGAGCCGCACGGGCTGCGCTCGGACACGCGGCAACGCCGCTCGAGCACAGGACCGCCTCGGGTCGTCGACATGCCTGGATCGAATCGGATCCAACTGACAGGAGCCGATGCCGAACTGGACCGAAGCGGACCGTGCCCTCCCACCTGGTTATGGATGGGGCAGGGGGGAGGACGGGGGTGTCGGGGGCGCCGAAGAGGGAGGCAAGGAGAGAAGGGGGTTCCGAGCATCATGGCCCGAGGTACGCGCGCGGACGAGGGGGGGGGTGCAGAAGCGCCTTGAAAGAAGCAGCGGGGGGGGCGTCCTGACGAGGAGGAGGAGGAGGAGGAGGAGGAGGAGGAGGAGGGAAGAGGAGGAGGAGGAGGAGGAGGAGGAGGAGGAGGAGGAGGAGGGAGGAGGAGGAGGAGAAGAAGGAGGAGGAGGGGGAAGGGAAGGAGGAGGAGGAGGAGGAGAAGGTATCGTGGCCCTGATGGCCCCGGCCACGACCCCCCCCCCCATCCCCCTACAGTTCTCCCCTCCCGCCCATTGGACGCCCCCGAGGGTGGGGAGACCATCCCCGCAGGCCGCCCAGCTGAGCATAACTGGGCTCGGGACTTTCGAGCTGTCGGCGACAAGGTCGGGCAAACCTGCCACGCAGACGCGCAGGTGCGGTTTCGCGGAAGCGCTGCATATTCCCAAAAAGATCGGTGCCGGGCGTCAGGCGCTGACCGCGTCCACGCTACCCTGAGCGAGCCGCGGCCAGGAGGAGAAGGAGTAGGAGGAGGAGGAGGAGGAGGAGGAGCAGGAGGCGGAGGAGGAGGAGACGGGAAGAGGAGGAGGAGGAGCAGGAGGGGGAGGAGGAGGAGGTGGAGGAGGAGGATGAGGAGGAGGAGGAGGAGGAGGTAGGAGGCTGGAGAGGAGGAGGAGGCGGAGGAGGAGTGGAGAGGCAATAGGGTAGGAGTAGTAAGAGGAGGAGGAGGAGGAGGTTGTAGTCAGGAGAGGAGGAGGAGGAGGAGGAGGAGGAGGAGGAGGAGGAGGAGGAGGAGAAGGAGAGAAAGGAGGGACAAGGGGGAGGAGGAAGGAGGGAGGAGGGAGGAGGAGGAGGAAGGAGGAGGAGAAGAAGGATGAGGAGGAGTCGGAGGAGGAGGAGGAGTGGAGGAGGAGGAGGAGGAGGAGGAGGAGGAGGTGGAGGAGGAGGAGCAGGAGGAGGAAAAGGGAGGACGAGAAGGGATGATGATGATGATGATGATGATGATGATGATGATGATGATGATGATGATGATGATGATGATGATGATGATGATGATGAGGATGAGGATGAGGATGAGGATGAGGATGAGAGGAGGAGGAGGAGGAGGATGAGGAGGAGGAAGAGGAGGAGGAGGAGAGGAGAGAAAGGAGGAGGAGGAGGGGAGGAGGAGGAGGAGAGGAGGAGGAGGAGGCGGAGGAGGAGGCGGGGAGGAGGAGGAGGAGGAGGAGGAGGAGGAGGAGGAGAGGAGGAGGAGAGAGAAGGCAGGAGGAGGAGGAGGAGGATGAGGAGGAGGGGAGAGGAGGAGAGAAGGAGGAGGAGGAGGAGGAGGAGGAGGAGGAAGAGGAGGAGGAGGAGGAGGAGGAAGGAGGAGAGAGGAGGAGGAGGGAGGAGGAGGAGGAGGAGGAGGAGGAGTAGGGAGGAGGAGGGGGGCGGAGGAGTTTTTTTGGGGGAGGAGAGGAGGAGGAGGAGGAGGAGGAGGAGGAGGAGGAGGACGAGGAGAAGGAGGAGGAGGACCAGTGTACATCCAAGAGTCATCAACGATGTTGGAATAAACCATCCCTCCAAGCTTCCTCTTCATTGGCCCCTACAACCTCTTTATTTCCATTCGGGGAACTGCCTCGTTGGGAGACAACCGTTTGACGACTTTCAAGCAGGCCGGAACGCCTTTTTCGGGACTCCAGCGCCACGGATGAACCTGACTGTTGCGTCTTGGCGATGCTGAGTCGTGCCAGAACACTATTCCTGGGAGTCCACCGCGGATCAACGAGAGTTGTTGAACCCTCGCAATCCTGAATCCTTCCAAACACAGTTTCTGCTACGTTGGCCATGGGAATCTGCAAAACTCTTGCAGTTATTCAACACGAAGGACGCGTCGCTGTGGCGAGAACCACATTTTGAAATCCAGCCGCCCTTAATCCGTGAAGCTCTTGCAAGTTTTGATGACGAATGTGCGCGGCGCGAAGGCGAGAGCCACAGTTTGAAAACGAACCGCCCTCAATCCGTGAAAGTCGTGCAAGTTGGTAGGGCCATTGTGCGCGGCGCTAAGGTGAGAGCCACATTTTGAAAACGGTTCTCCCTCAATCAGTGAAGCTCCTGCAACTTTCTACAACGAATGTGCGTGGTGCTAAGGAGAGTTACATTTTGAAAATCATCCGCCCTCAACTTGTGAAACTGTTGCCAAACTTTGAGCTTCAGGGTCACAAATGGTGAGGACGTCTCAGGCGAAACGTCTGGCCCGCCCTTTCGACTAGCCTCCTGGTGCGACAGGGAGGAGTTATTCATAAGGAAAAGCGGAGGAGGAGGAGGGGGAGGTAGAGGAGGAAGAGGAGAAGGGGGAGGAAGTGGAGGAGGAGGAGGAGGAGCAAGAGGAGGAGGAGGAGGAGGAGGAGGAGGAAGAGGAGGATGATGATGAGGAGGAGGACTACTAATAAGCACAAGAGGCAGAAGCAGAAGCAAAAGCAGAACCAGTGTATTTTGCCGAGCAATGGTAATATTATTCTTACTGGGAGCAGTAATACCACTACTCTGAATAATAACACAACTAATGTTAATAAACGTACCGATAGTACGACAACTCGTAATGCTAATCGTGCTACTACTACTACTACTACTACTACTACTACTACTACTACTACTACTACTACTACTCTACTACTACTGCTACTACTACTACTTCTACTATTTTTATTTCTACTGCTACTACTACTACTGCTACTGCTACTGCTACTGCTACTGCTACTGCTACTGCTACTGCTACTACTGTAACTACTAACTACTACTTACTACTACTACTACTACTACTACTACTACTACTACTACTACTACTACTGTACACTACTACTACAACTACTACTACTACTAACTACTACTACTACGTCGGACTACTACGACGACTACTACTACTACTACTACTACTGCTACTACTACTACTACTACTACTACTACTACTACTACTACTACTACTACTACTATACTACTACTACTACTACTACT